CACATTTCTCTCCCTTCCTTACCCTCTCTCTAAAAATAAGATTTTAAAATAAAATCTTAAAAAAGAAAAGAGAAGCCAGGTGAGTTACCTGATAAATCTGAAACAAATTTCCCAGATACCTGACACCAAGATTAGCAGAGACAGGACAGCCTCACATAGATACTATAGGTACTTTTCTGCCCAAAGAATGAAAATTGCAGAGAAGAAATCACATTAGGAAGGAAACATTCAGTGAAGGTGGACAGTCATGCCTTCCCCGCTAGGCCGAGACAATGGGGAGAGAAGATAGAAAAACAGAAAAAGACTACTTACCTCCATCCGGGATAGCAAGGTCTGTATATCCCTGATCATGTGCTGAGCCATCACCAGCCGTACTCGGGGTTCACTCTACAATAAGAGAGGGAATATCAAGGCAGGTCTGAGATGAAGGCACAAGCTGCAGAGCCTACTGAACCAGGTCCCAGCATCTCCTCAGCTATGTCCAATCCCACCTCACGGACTCCAACTCCTTCTCCTTCTCCCAGATCCCCTTCCCTGACCTTCCCAGGCTCCGTGATACCTGAATTGGGGCCTGTTCCATGTTGATGTGAACATCCACAGCAGAGCCGTCACTCTGGGGAAAGGGTAAGGGAAGTTGCTCTGGGAGAAGCCAAATACTAAGGCCCCCACATTTCCAACTCATTCTCTGGAGACCCACTCCTTTTCTCCTCAAGACTGAGGCTATTAGTAAACCATAGAGCCTTCCAAACCCAATCTAAACACTGAGCTCTCTCAGCAACTACTACAACCAAAATTTTACTTCCCCACAAAAACCATCCCATGTGAAACACCGGCTTACAGGAAGGTTGAAGGTTCCAACCATGACATAACTGTTGGCATTCCGGTCATGAACAGAGGCCCCAGGCCCACGAGTACCAAGTGTGGGTCCCCCACCATGGGTGGCTGAGGCAGACCCTGTCCCAGAAGATGCCCCCGAAGGGAGCTGAGTCTGAGGAGGAGCACGTTCCACCAGGTGAATAACCTTTCCCCCAACATCTGCAAAAATAAAGAGATACACACCAAAACATTTTGTGATCAGGTAAACCCATAATTTCAGCTCATCCTTCTGGACAGCTGCCTCAAACTATGAACAGCCCCACCCCACCCCCTTACTGTATTCTTGGAGCTTCTTATCATCCTGCAGAACCCGTCCCTGGTAGATAAGCCGTTGTTTCTCAGAGGGGATGCTGACAGAGGCAGCAATGTGCTCCTTAAATTCCTTTACATTCATCTGTAAAAAAGAGACACAAACAGGTATCAGCATATGCAGGAAAGAGGAAGGACAAAAGAGGGACAACTGACTCGTGGAGACGAGGGGTAAAAACCATCCCATCATAAAATCACTTCTCTTGACTGTGAAGTAATTACTGTGCAAAGCCCCAAACTAAGACGACTCTTGTCAAAATACGATAAACATAATGAAGTTCAGTTCTAGGCCTAGGAGAAAATTACATTGTTGAAAAACAGAAAAGCAAACTAATAGTCCCTTCACTCCTCTGCCTAGCTCCCAAGGGAATGTGTATCTAAAGATATCAGTGACTGCTCTCCAAACACAAAATGATACAACTCTAGTCCCAAAGATAAAAGCAATGACAAGAAAGATGGAGTGGCCAATCAGGTTAAGGAAAGAAGACTAAACAAAGGAAACACAAAAGAGAAAAATATTTCTCCTAACTAAACAACTGACTCTTGGGAAGATTCTGGCTGTTTACACACATCTAATTACAAAAGCCTGTATGTTTTCCTGAAATATAGCTAATGTCACACTTTAAAAACCATGGGCCAACCCCTCATACTCTTGTCTCCCAGTATTAGAGTAGTAATGACATAGCCGTGCCCATACTTTCGAACTCAAAAGATTCATACATAGTGTGCCACAAAAATTAGCAACTCAACTCAATGGTCTATTAGGCCTCTACCTACATTACCAGATGATTTCTCACCTTTAAAAACACAGTATTGCCCTGGCTGGTATAGCTCAATGGATTGAGTGCAGGCCTGTGAACCAAAGGGTCATGGATGTGATTCCCAATCAGGGCACATGCCTGGGTTGCCCACCAGGTCCCCAGTAGGGGGCGTATGAGAGCTAACCACACACTGATGTTTCCCTCCCTTCCTCCCTCTAAAAATAAACAAATAAAATCTTAAAAAAAAATACTAAACACAGTATAGACCTGAAAATTTTTTGTCTTTAAGTCATGCTTGTGTTTGGGGTCCGAGTGTTCTGTCTTCCTTTTCCAAAGGCAGGAACCATGCCTATCTCTGAGATAGGGGTTCACTGAGCTGGGGTTCACTTATGCAATCAGGTTAGCATAGAGATTCCCTCCTTCCTCCATATTTCCCTCTGCACTGAGTTCTGCTGAGATGGAGTAAGGCAGAACAAAACCTACTTCATTCAATAGAAGAAATACCTTACCGCTCAACAGTATCAGAAAATGTTCTGCCTAGAGAATGAACAAAGGAATCAATGAAAAAAACTGAGGACAAGAGAACCTTCTTCCGGGCTAAGGGGCACACAAGAGAAGGAGTTAATGGGTGCCTTCCAGAAGTACTGGGGTCTCACCTGGGCCCCCACAATAAAGGTCCGAGTCTGAGAGTCCAGGGTCTTCACCAGCACCTCCAGGTTGTCAGGCTCCTCCACTGCGGTACTGGTACTATTATTGGACTCCATGGCCAATAGCTTTCTAAGGGAAAATGGAGAGAGGCCCACTGTCGCCCAAAGCTGATTTTATATACCCAGAAGCCTCCCCGGCCCGAGTCTCCACCCCAATACCTAAAGAGTTTCTCCCACACAAGCACACTCCCACCCCCATCCCTCTTCTGATTCCGGGGCACATGGAAATAAACGCAAAGGGCAGGAGACCGAAGGCAAAGGAAGTTGGGCGACAGGAGGTGGGAGAGGCTCCAAGATGCCAATTACAACAGAGAGCCAGTCGGGCTAGGAAGCAAGGAAGGAAGGAATTCGTGTCATCACCGGTCGCGACAGAAAGGCCCCAGAAACCCTGGGACACTAGAAACCGGGGGGGGGGGGGGGCGCTGGGACGCTGGAGGGGTCGCACTTCATTATGCGGAGAAAATGGTTTCGCGCACGCGCGCCACACCACAGCCACTGAGCCCGCCTAAGTCACCACAGACCCAAACTGACGGACACTCACGGGGGGCCAGACCGGCTAGCTGACTGCCCCCCTCTTCTGCCTTCTTCCGGGGCTCCAGCAGAGCGTCGCAATCAACACACACCCAATACACACACCACCACCCTGCGGCTCCACCCACGACTTCCCCACGGTGCCATCACTTCCGGTCACCTCCAACTTGCCACCGACGGCCACTTCCGTTTCCCCGACAGTACTTGGAGATTGCGAAGCGGAACTTCCGGCTCCCTCCAGGCTCCCAAGCTTCACTTTCGTGGGGTACGACAAAAAAATCCGCGGCCCCAAACAGTGAGTTCCGGAGGGCGAGACGGGCCGGGGCCGGCCTAGATGGGAAGGAGCCGAGCCTCCTGAGGAGCCGCCACTACTGCCGTCGCCCGGGGGACCGTACTGCGGCTGCGTGCGTCGCATTACGCATGCGTACACACTTAGACACCGCCCCGCCCTCCCTGGCGCGATTTATTTCCCCTGTGCGTGAGCTCGTACAATAAGAGGTTGAGGTGGCCATTATAAATGCCTGAAAAAAATTACGGGAGGCTTTGGGCGGTTGTTAATGGATCTTGGAGTTTGGGGACTGGGGATTACGCCTCGCTAGTCTGCCTTTAAGGGTTGGCCGGCAGAGACTGAGGAGGTACAGTCCTGGCCACCTAAAATGCCGTCTCTCGCTCTCTCTCTCTCTTGCCCTCGGTGCTCTAGTCATTTGGCGCCTCCGGAAGTCACCCTTTGCTACGGTTGGGGCTAGTTCGCGAGCTGTCTTGCGTGCAGTCGCGTGGTGGGGCCTACTCTTGGTTTTGTCCGGCGGGCGTTTTGCCTGGTGTGGGCGCCATGTTGTTCACAATGCATTGCCCGGCCGAATCGATACGGCCTGTTTTTGAGAAGCTACGGACTTACTATCAGGACTTTTATCAAAAAAAAAAAAAGTTTGCCTCCGAGTTTGAGAACTGGGAGCAAATGAAGTCCGACCTGACCGAAACACTAGACGCTGACTGTCGGAAATTGAAGGGACCGCCAAAGGACTATTGCACACTGGGATTATGGGGTTACTGCCTCATTGCCATCTTCCTCGCCTACCCTCGGCCCCGCAGCCCTGTTAATCCTTTACCCAGACCCGTCATTGCTCTGGTGCCCAGCCTTTTTGGGATCCTTTATTTATACCCAGGTCCCAGGACTCTTTCAGTTAAGAGTTCTAATATGCACCTATTTCGTGAGCAGTTAGTTTGTGCCAGCCAGTTTTCTAAAGGTTGTACGTACTGTCACGTTTAAAAGCCTTTCAATATCTGCGGTAGTTATCATACCCACTTTTATGAGTACGTCTAGCGAACTAACAAATACAGACCTACCAAACTCGTCTGGCTCCAGCGCTCCTACCTTACTGCCCCAGTACATTTTTTAGTTTTTTTATTGTAAAAAGTGTCAAAACATCACCCTAGAATGGAACAGTATAATGAAACTTCATTTACCCTAAATCCTAAGTCTCACCTCTCAGGACAAAGAATTTTTTGGCAGTCTGAGTTACAATTAATTAAAAGGAAGCCCCGATCTTCACTGCATTGACTGCTCCACACACTTGGCACTATCCAATGACTGTCTCTTGACAATTTTTTCCTTACCTCCTATTATTTGAGAATGTATTGGCCACTGGAAACAATAAGTGCTTTACAAACATTAATTTTAGCAAATGTTTACTTTAGACCAGACGTGTAGGCCTTTGCAAAGAGCTTTATTTGCATTATCTCTTAATCCTATGAGATTATGACTTACTCCCAAGTGAGAAAATAGACATACAGATAGTCTAATAAGTAATAGAGTTAGGGTTTGAACCCACTGCCAGACACCAAAGTTGATCCTCTTTTAATAGTCTCTTACTCCCAGTTATAAACATTGAGTGAATGGACTGTGTGTTAGTGAGCTTTTCTTCCTGATGAACATATTGTTTCCCCAGTTATAAACTTCAGAGAAAAAGCCACCTATCTGCCATGTCCCAGCACTTGGTTTATACTGCTCTAATGCACTTAAGCTGTACTACAATGATTTGTTTACACAGCTAGTTTTCCTTAGACTGCCTTCTTCAAGGTCAGGGACTGTATCTTAATCATTTTTATGTCCCAAGTCTTAGCCAATTCCTGGCAAACAGCTGGGAGTCAAAACCATTTGTTAAGTGAGTAAATGAATCAGTCCACCTCTCTTCAGTGCTGCACAGTACAGCAGATGTCCAGCTCAGATCAACACCACAGGCTCTACCTGGAGGGCTCAGCTCTCCTGATAACTGCCAAAAGACCTGGACGTGCCAGGGTGTATTGTGGAATGGCTGCATCTAGAAGAGGGGGAGAGAGGGTCAAATATTGTAAGTGATCCATGTTTGGAAAACAAGGTTGAAGTTACTCATTAGCAGGTGAAAGGGTCAAGGATCAAGGCAAGGGGGCTGGAAGCAGAGTGGACTCAGCAGCCAGAAGGGGATAACAGTTAAGGCACCAGCCACTCCACAAAGAACACCAGCTCCCTGTTGCATGAAGATGTTCCACCAAATTTGGGCAGCTCTGCTTTATTTCTATGGCATTCTCCTTAACTCTGTCTACCAGTGCCCTGAGTACAGTCAACTGACAACTCAGGGAGTGGATGGGAAAGAGGTATGGACTGAGAATGGGAGAAGCTTCCAGTGGGGGTTCTGAGGGACTTGAGTGGGTGGCCTAGAATGACCAGAAGCCACATTGGGAAAGGAAGAGAGTGTGAGTACTGTGAAGATGAAAGCAAGGACAAGTAAAAAAATGTAAGGACTATGGCCATCAATGTGGAGATATGGTAGAATCAGGGGCGGAGGGTTACTCAGATTACTGAGCATAGGCAAAAAGGAAGTCATTTAATGACTCCCTGTCATGGATCCAAGCCCCAGCTAGAAAAAAGCAGCCAAATACCTCTACCCCTAAGTCTTGCTGTTCTGACAAAGATGTTGGATGGATCCTGCAATGGGACCAACCCTCTTATGTTTCCCCTTGTCTCTCCAGTTCTCGGAACCCCACCTGGGCCAGTGGTACTTTATTGCAGGGGCAGCTCACACCAAAGAGGAGTTGGCGACTTTTGACTCTGTGGACAACATTGTCTTCAATATGGCTGTGGGCTCTGCCCCGACAGAGCTCCAGCTTCATGCTACCATTCGCACGTGAGTAACGAGGGGGCAGAGGCACCAGTAGGTACAGTCTCAGCCCAAGGTTTGAGCACCTACCCATAAAGAGCTGGGTTCTTTTGCATGTCCACTGTTCTTAGCCCACCTGAGTTCATTGGCTCTATTAGTTTCCCTTTGGGGAGAGAGGGGCCTAACCATCCCTTGGCAGCTTGAAACCCAAGGCAACCCGGGCTTCAAGAAGGAATAAGAGGGGATAAAGGCTGCTACTGTGTGATTGAGGTGTCACAGTCTTTCCTCCTTGCCATCACCACCTCTTCAGGAAAAACGGGTCCTGTGTGCCCCGGGAATGGATCTACCACCTGACCAAGGGGAGCACAGATCTCAGAACTGAAGGTTGGTTCTCTCCAGCCCTCCCTCTCCCCCAATCCCCTGGTTTGCTTGATCTTGCATCTCTGTCTTCACTCTTCCCCTCCAACCCATCCTGACAGGCCGCCCTGACATGAAGACCAAGCTCTTCTCTAGTTCATGCCCAGGTGGAATCATGCTGAAGGAGATGGGCCAGGGTTACCAGCGCTTCCTTCTCTACAGTTAGTAAGGCAAAAGGCAGGATGGGTTGGAAGGAAACACAGGATGGGCAGGAAAACCCCTTACTCTAGGCCCTGTAACATCATCCCAGGGAGGGCTAGGTGCTTCCAGGAGGGCCTCACCAGGGTGGGGAGCTAAGTAGAGGTTTCGATGGGCCTGGCCCTGCTGTGCCCTTCCAGACCGCTCACCAAACCCTCCTGAGAAGTGCGTGGAGGAATTCCAGTCCCTGACCTCCTGCCTGGATTTCAAGGCCTTCTTACTGACTCCCAGGAAACGAGGTGAGACGGTAAAGTCCCACAGAGGAGAACTAGGACTCACCAAGTCTTCTATGGAGTGCTGGATGAAAGGGACTCAAGTGATGTCACCAGAGGGCAAGACCAAAGGCTGACATCGTCAGATTGGCTATGTACACACCTCCATTTGTGTCATAGGTTGTGACAGCCCCAGAGGGAGCCAGGATGGGCTGTGGGTTACTCAAGAGAGGTTTCTGGGTTTGCAGTGGATAAAGGGCAAAGAGTCAGACACGGGAAAGAAAACAGGCCTCAGAGACCCTTTTGACAGGGGAGGGATGTAGGAATGCATTCTCGCCCACCCATTACTAGCAACCTTCCTTCTCTTCCTGGATTTCCTTCCTTTCCATCCTCTTTTCTCCCTCCTCCCACCAGGGGTCTGTAACCAATCCAGTAACTGATCTGTGGCTACATCTGTGCCCCCAGATGGATTCATTGGGAGCTACGGTAGTGGTGGGAGAGGAGAGAAGCTGAAGAATCCCTCTCAATAGCAATAAAGATTATTTTTCAATCCTTATCTCATGTTGGGGTTTGTCTCCAGACATCAATCCCACTCCAATTTCAAAACTCCCCCTGAAACTTCTATCACCTAAACCCTCAGCCAGATGGTGTCAGGATGGACACTGAGTGGCACTAACTCGCTTTGTAGTGGTATACTTAGGATTTGGTGTGCCACATTGACTTACTGCTGAGTGAGCAACCCCTAACCCCTGCCTGGGGACTGCAGTGCTTCCCCACACTGCTGTCTGGGCTGCCAGTTCCTAAGCCAGTCTTCTTGCCAGTACTGCCTGCACCATCCCCACTCCTTCTGGCTCCCAGGAACACCACCATTCCTGCATGCTCCCTGTCACTTGTGCACCCCATCCAAGCCCCAAATCCAAACACCTAACAGCCCCTCTCTTCCCTAGATGTCCCAAGACCCAAGGGACCCATTGGTCTCCCAACCACCCTCTTACCCCAGCCAGAGTTCTGTCTGTCCCTGGGGAGTCTTGAGAGGTAGAAAGGACCTTTTAGTCTTTATTCTCCACCACCACACTGTTTTTGTTTTCTGTCTTTACAAAGTGAAGGTGAAAAAAACAAAGAAATAAACAGAAGGTGGGAGAAATGTAAAATCAAAAAGTAATAACAGCTGGTGAATACAAGGGCCATGCCCCCACTGTCCATAAACCTGAACAGCTTTTCTCTCTTGTGGGTGAGGTGGGGGCCTGTGCCCTCATACTCTAGGGTTTCTTTCCCGTCCCTGAGGTCCCTGTGCTTACAATGTGTCCCCCCTCTCCTCCTAAAGGCCACACTGTGGCCTCTTGCTCCCAGCCCACTGAGGAGTCCTGGGTCACACCCTACTCTGAAGTCACAGCCCCTTTCCTGGATCTCCCCTCTGCTCCTCACCTTCCCTCCCCAACTTCTCACCCTCCAAGTCAGTGTCTTCCTCATCCCCAGTGGACTCCCGGAGGCTAACAGCCAGTACCAGGGCCTGTAGAACACCAAAGAGGCAGGCAAAGTGCAGAGGGTGAGCAGTAAGTAGGCTTAGCACAGCGTGGAGCCCATGCAGGGCAGCCAGGAAGGACAACAGCCCATGAAGCCAGAGGCCCAGTGGCCCACTCAGGCCCAATGCATCCAAGGCTGCCCTCAGTGGCCGTGAACACAGTCCCAACAGGGCTGAGGCCAGTAGCTCCAGCAAGTGCAGGGTCAGGTTGGTAGAGATCTGCAGACATTCCTCTGGGCCCACCAGGTATTTGGAGGAAGCCCCTGCTCCCCCACCTGGTTCCCCCCGCAGCCAGCCCAGCAGCTTCTGACGGCGCCAGCTGGGCTTCTCCACTGGCGCTTCAGGCCCAGGGGGGTTCATTCTCCCTTCAGGGGACATTCCAGATTTCCTGGTGCCACCTGAGTCCACAGGATCCCATCCCAGCTTGGAAATAGCCTCTGCAGCCTCCAGTCTTCCAGACTCTTGAGTGCTGGTGCTAGTCTTGACCCTCTTGAAGGAATCCATTCTGCTCCCCAGTTGCTCAACTTGAGGCTCCCTGCCTGGTCCTGGAGCAGCTCCAGAACTCCAGGCCCCTGAGTCCTTCGTCTTGGGAGGCCCCACATCTCCCATGGTTTCTGGGGCACTGTCCCAGTCACTCCCTGAATTCTCAGAGGAACTGTTCACCTGTCTGGGTTCTGTGGTGGGCAGGTCAGGCCTGAGTTTCCGGCGGCCCCAAGGGCGAGGCAGCCAGCCACCAAGCCGTCGGAGGAACATAACTGGAGTGTGTAATGAGCCCCCAAATTCTGGGGCCCCCACTGCTCAGTTTGGGGATTGAGGGGCTCCTCAGAAAACAGTCTGTTCAGGCTTAGAGGAGCAGGTATCTGTTTGGAGAATCGTATTCCGAATTCAGAAGTGGCTACCCCCTTCCCTGAATAGTCATGAACCCTCTAGTGGGGCAGGCAGGCAGCTTGTTTCCTTTTTAGTTGTGAGATAAAGAAAGGTGGCACATCCAAATTCATTCACCACCACCACCTCACACACGAGTCCAACACTAAGGATCTCATAAGGTCCGGGTCACCCCGACAGTGTCCTCCCTGTTTCCAGGCTTCCTTTCCAGCAAGCAGTACACCAAGTTTCACTCACCAAGGCCACGCCCCAAGGTGTCCCCAAAACTGGGGGACACCATCATGAAGGAAGGTAGTTGGAAGGTCGCCCCGGTCCTAGGTGCTCCCGATGTGGGGATTCCTGAACGTCTGATTTAAAGGATCTCCGTAATACGAAGCCTCCTATTGGAAGGTGGAGGAAAGAGTTCAGCGAACTCCAGCGAGCAGGTTCGTCCCTTGAATTAGATGGCCACGACTCCTACAAAACGGCTGGATGTGCTCCAAGCACGCAGCTGAGACGCGACCTCCGAAAGGTCAGGCCGGAGGCGTCCTCGGAGATCCCAATGGCGAGGCAAAGCGCAGGACCCAGGCGTTCGGGTGCTTCAGCTTGTTGCCCCTCCTCCCAGGCCCAGCGTCGGTCCGTCGGTCCTACGGCCTCACTGAGGTCCTACAGCCTCCCTGAGCGTAAGGAACACCCAAGTCCGGAAGCAGCTGCACTGGCTGAAGGACCAGTAGGGGCGGAGCCAGCAACTCGCCGGAAAGACTCTGCGGATGGCCCGCCCGTCGCCTCATTAGTGCGTAAACAGCTGACCTCAGCGGTCCCCAGAGCTAATGTATCCACCTAGCTCTCCACTTCCGTCGCTCAGACACCCGGAACCCGCCCCCCCCCCCCCCCCCTTAGCTCCCTGCCTTGCATCCTCTCCCCCAACCCCTACCACTGGTCTTCGTGCCCATGAATTCAGGAAGGGCTCCTCTGGAAAAGGTAGATAAGAGACTTACTTAAGCTGTCCCCTGCTCCCTGCAGATTTTACTTCCGGAGTTTGTCAACAGTGAGCTCATTTGCCTGGCACCCAGTATTGAGAGGGGAGTGTGGGAAAAGCAAGTGCAGACTTACAGGATGTGCTTCCTGCCTTCAGTTTTCAGGTAGTGAATATAAGAATCCTGGCTTAAAGTTTAAATTTGGAAGGCCAGAGTTCTGATGCCAGTTTAGCCAACAGAATACAGGTTGGATAATCTTATGCTTTCCCACCACACTGGCCTCTTCCTATGAGACCTTGCCTATTCTCATTACCCCTGTGAGCGTGCTGTACCTCCCATCACCATGCACCATTTGACTACATGGCTGTCTCCTCCTGCAGCTGGGAGCAACTTGAAGGTTGGGGATGTCTCTTAGTCCTATTCTTAGCAGCAATAGTATACACCTTTTGATTGAATTAAGTGAAGTCATCAGGGAGACAATCCCTTGGGGAGATGAAACTTGCATACAGCTGGGCAGTTCCTGGCTGGGGGTTGAAAGAATAGGCGGGGTGCTCTCAGCAGGACCTAGCAGTGAACCAGACCAGCAGGGAGGTGACCCCATCATGCCACCTGGAGGAGCTGCCCCTTCCGGCTCAGGTGGGACTTGCATGTCTTCCCAGACTTTGGCTTCCCCACAAAAGCTTCCAGAAAAGTGAATAAAACAAAAAGTAAATTTGATTTATTTCTCAACTCTCAGCCTCACTCCCAAAGGTTAAGGCCTACTGACCAAAATCCAAGTGTCTGGGACCTGGGCAGACTCCAAGAAGTAGAAGCTAAAAGGGCCCAGCTCAGACTTCAGCAGTCCAGGGTCAGACCTTGCCAAGCTCAGAACTCAAGGTTCATGTACCTCCTCAGATCCCGCTCCCAGGCCTTGTCCTTCTCCTTCTGCCTTCTCTCCTCCCTTCTGCTCAGTATGGTCACCTGTGGGGCTCTCGCCCTCCCAGCCACTGCCCGGGAATCCTGAGCCGGGAAGTGTGTGACTCGGGATTGGGGTGCTGACCTGTACCCTAATCCTTCCTGATCTCTCTTGAGGACGGTGGGGATGGGGTTGACACGGCCCTTGCCCTGGGGTCCCAGCCCCATTCCAGGCTCCCACCCCCCCTTCAGCAGCAGTTTGAAGCCTGGGCTGGAGATGGGCACCCCAAGGTGCAGACTGGGAGGCCGGAGGTCCCGGGACAGTGACAGCAGGTGAGCAGTAGATGTGCAGTGGTTAGAGTCCTGGAAGTGGCCACCACAGGTCTCACAGTATTGGGGGGAGGGGGCTTGGGACCTGCAGAGGAAGAGGAGAAAGGATTGAAGGCAGGGGGAGGGTTGAAGTGGGTGGAGGTAGCAGGGTGGGTAGGACAGAGTTCTTCCATTATTTCTGCTGAGGAACAAATTACCTTCCTCCCCACTTAGCAGTGAAGGACCACAGGGTAGTAGTTGGGAGAAGAGATGGTAACCAGGATTCACAAAGCTCTTGGGCAAAGAAGGAATAACAACTGCTATAGCTAATATTTATACAGTGCTTACTTTGAGGCAAACACTGTTCTAGCACTTGATATATACTAACCCATTTAATCCTAACAACCCTATGAAAAAAGTGTTCTTATTACCATCTCAGAAAACTCAGGTATGTAAACATCAGGTTGCTTACCCAAGTAGTTAATTAGCATTGAGATCCAGAGTTCAGGTTCATAACTACCCTAATATACTGCTTTATCAACCTACACTGGGAGGTGAAGAGGAGGAGAACCCTTCAGCTCTTTGCTGGTGTGCAGTGGCTAGGAAGGGCAGAATACACTGAAAGGTGGGCATGGGCGAAGGCTTCCTCTCACCAGTTCTCTGAACTCCTCTTCTCTCCGCGGCTCTCTCTGACCATGCGGGCCACCTCTGGGAAGCCTGCTTCTTCAGCCAGCTGAGCAGCATCCCTGCCACCCAGCTCACAGACCCCGACCCAGGCAGCACCCTGGCCTAGGAGATACTGCACAGCTGCCCCCTGGCCTGCTCGGGCAGCACACATTAGGGGGGTCCACCAGAAGGCATCCCGAACATTGATATTTCCCCCAGCTCCCCCTGCCTCAGGGGGATCCAATAGCCTTTTTAGTTCTGCCAAGTCCCCCTCCTGGGCTGCCCTCAGTATCCAATGAGTCATCTTGTCCTCAGCCTCAAGGGATCTCCTTTGTCCATGTCCTCCTGATAATCCTGTTGCAGCCTCTCTCATCATTCTTCTCTTCTTCCTCTTTCTCTCCTTGTTAGGCTCGGGCTTCAATCTCTGAGGTTCAGGGGCACTGCTCTCATCTCCAATCAAGGCCTCATAGAAAGCCCGGGCTGCTGCCCCATCCAGGGTAGGCTCCAACTCTTCAGGCTGTGACTGCTGCTGCCCATCTTTCCAGAAGTCGCTGGGGTCAGTGGCTGGGGTGAAGGTGATGACAGAGGGCCTGGACATGGCTTTGGTAGAGCTGAGAAAATGAAACTAGGCAAGGGGAAGATGAAGCCAGTGAGCCAAAACCCTGGTGGCCCTGCAGTGACCAAAGCCACCTCCACAGACCTGCTGGGATAAAGGGAAGTAGCTTTAGAATAAAAAAAAACCCTCCTGCCCCAGAAGTAACCCCACAACCCGATACCTTACAGAGCCTAAGGTATAGATGGTGTAGAAAAACAAGGGACCCTATAATAAAAGACCATGCCCTTTAGTAAAGGTTAACAAAGATTCTGTGAGGGAGTTGCCTAGATGTCCAGCTTTGTGCCTCTACTCCCAGCCTCATCAACAATTAATAGGAATAGCCTCAGAGCACTTGAGACCTTATTCCCTGGCATATGTCGTCAATTTGGCTCAAATAAATTCATAAAAATTCTCTTAAAAAAAAAAGTAAAAAGTAGAGATAGACTTTCTCTGAAACGACTACTCTGTAAGACATAACAATTATGAAAAGCCTTGCCCTTTATATCCTCCTCGATCCTACTTCAGGTGTCTTCTCAAATAAAAACATTTGATACTTCTCCACAAGCAGAAAAGGTATTGGGGAGAGGCTGCAGTCTGCAGAGCCTTGTGGCTTCAGTAATGCAAAACGGCGGTGTTGGAAGCAAAGGAATCTACGTAGTAATCAAACATCCAGGCTACTCCAAGATACATGCTGAAAAACAAACACCATTTCAGGGTACAGGCGTATGGAAAGCACCGGGTTGTTTCCCATCCTAAACTTTCCAATGTTATTTATGCAAAAGCCACGTGCCTCAGTAGCGCGAGGACAGAAGAGGATGTCAGTTGGGATCCTGCTTTTACATAAAGCCCCACAATGCCCTTCGCCTCCATGAACGTGGCCCCCCGCTCGGATCTCATTTTCCGAAGCTGGGAAACAAACCACTGTCGGGGTTAAAAAAGGCCCTGGGTAGGCGGAGGGGAAACCTATGGCATGCCTACAGCTGTGAAACTAAATAACGTCACGCTGCCCCTCACCATTACTCCAACCACGGTTCGAAGGTCACACTTGGCGCCCGCAGCAGAAGGCCCCATTTAAGCCCTAAGAAGAAATAGAGAAGTGCAAGGGGACGAGAAACAGAATGGCTGGCACCACCTCAGGTTAGCCACTGGGTCGCCCCGGTTCTCACACCGCTCTGCCGAGCACATCCTACCCAGGTCTCTCGGCCCAGAGCCAGACCTCACCTCCCGACTCAGGAGTCCGGGCCCCTTGGTGAAACATGGGCCCCGTCGGGAGTCTTCAGTTGCGGGCCTTGCTAGGGCAAGGGGTTGGAGAGACGATAGGACCCGGTGCGTTGGTTGGGGATGAGGTCAATCCCCTAGGCAAGGGCGCGCCGGGGCCGCAGCCTCGCTGTGTGAAGGGAGGGGCAGCCAGCTTCGCCCCTTACCCTAACTCCTCTCGAAGCCCCCAGTCCCGAGATCTCGCAACTGCTTCCCAGGCTCCCCTACCCAGAACCCGGTACCCTGCTTCCGCTTCCGGTGGTTCCTCCTTGCGGAACGCCCCTTGCGTCTTCTTCCGCGGCCTCGCGACACCAGTGTCGCAAACGGTTCACCCTGGAATTCGTAGTTCGCTTTCCGCTGGTTTCGCCAGTTTCTCCCTAGCAGGAACTCTATCTCCCGACGTCCATCGCGGCAGCGCCGGATCTTTGGCGCTTGCGTATTGTCGTCTTCCCGCCCTCCCTTTTCTACTCACCCCCCCCCCCCACCCCCGCCAACTTCGCCTCCCGCGATCCGTGGCCTGCGCTATAGTCGAGACTGTCGTTTCTTGGAAGTAGCAACTCCCCTCCCCCACCCCGGTCCCGGCCCCAGTCCAGACGGTGAGTGTGAAGTTGTCACCGCACTGAGTGTTCTGTTTCTGAACGCGGTACAAGGGGGTCTCCGCGCCTCGATGTGCTGGTGGGGAAAGAAGTGATCTGGTCCGCCACCGAGGGAGGAAGGAAGAGGTGGCCTGAGGGGTGGAGGCTGGATGTGGGTTCTCCAATGAAAAGGACCTTCGGGGCAGCTGCAGGCCATGAGAAAAGGAAGAGCGCAGCTCTTGCTTCGAAAAGATAGACTTCTAAACCCTTGGGAAAGGCACCGGGACGGGCAGAGACCTGCGGTTGCAGGGAGCCCAGCCAGGGCTGCCCTTCCGGAGCGTCAAGGATGTGGGTAAGAACTGGTGGGCCAAGACCTGTCAGTTTCTCGCAAGTGATGGGTCCCCAAAGAATTTTTAATCTTGGAGAAAGGAAGCTGAAGTGTAAATAAGAGGAGCTGGAGAGAGGTCGGCTTCAGCGTCTAGGATCCTTTAACAAAAGGTGGCCCCCAATTCTTTCGTGGTTGGAGGGCAAAGTGTGGGAGGAGAGAGGATACCAGAGGCAGGGAGGGAGAGCTTGGGTTACTCTTTCTCCAGCTGACGTGAAGATGAGCAGCTCAGAGGAGGTGTCCTGGATTTCCTGGTTCTGTGGGCTCCGCGGCAATGAATTCTTCTGTGAAGTGAGTTCTCAGCCTCTCTACTGATCGCCACATACAGTCTGGCCAGATATTCTCCCACATATTCAGCTTCCACACTTCTCTCCCATGCTTCCTTAAAAACGTGTTCCTGTGAAGGAAGAGTACCCTCAGTAACCCACCATTAACATATAAAATGGCAAGACTGGGGCCCAACTTCCCCGCCACCCTCCAGTAGTATAATGTTGGACAAGTAAACCTGTGTTGTTGTTTTTAATAAGTAGAGTGGTATTGATATCTACAGCTATTGTTAGGAGAATTAAACTATTACATGTTAAGATGTTTTGTAACATGCAAAACTGTGTCAATATGAGGGATGTAACTGCTTTCAGAATCCACACTGTTCAGCCTTCACCGTTTTCAAGACAACCAGCTGCCCTTTAAGAGAAGACAAAACTGGTTCCTAGAGATGGGGGGCAGGAGTAGGGACAGGGATCTTGAAAGGAATGTCTGTCTAAGTAGAGGATTGCTGTGCCTGTTTATTTGAAAAGAAAAAAAAAAGGCCAAAGCTTTTATGGAAGGGCAGTACATGTGAACTGGGGAGAGAGACTCAGGTACTTGTACTGAGTTGGGAATGAGGAGTAGAAGTGGTTGTGCTGAGGATAAGGCATCAGTTAGAGCAACTTGCTCGGATGGAAGCCAAGAATTCTGCTATGGGTTCCCTCTTCATCTCCACACCCTGACAGGTAGATGAAGATTACATCCAGGACAAATTCAACCTCACTGGACTCAATGAGCAGGTGCCTCACTATCGACAAGCTCTAGACATGATCTTGGACCTGGAGCCTGGTGAGACACCCTCAGGCTTGCTTTGTGTGTGTATGCTCCCTGCGCCCCCACCACCACCACCACAGTCAGATCACTCACTGTTCACCTCTTTCTTGATTTTCTAAATTTTCTTTTGGTTTCTGACTCCTTTAATCCAAAACCCCCTACTTCATTTTGTTCCGCTGCCTAGCTCTTGCCTGATTTGGTGACATATACCACTTGTGCCCATCAGAGTGACTCTGATTCTATAATTCGGTTCTATTTTGTAATGATAGTTTCCCCAGGGGTTCTCATTTTCAAACTCTTTCTCCTGCCTTGCACTTTCTGGGCTAGAGTTTTGTTTTTTGCATTGACACTTTGCATTTATGAGTTGCAGAGGGAGTTGGGAGGGAGAGAGGGCAGAGGCTAGAGAGGTGTGTAGAAAAGGTAGAGCTGGCTTGGGTTGGTGGAAGGGTCAGAGACCCAGGTTTCTGGGTCAGATGCCCACATGAAGGGTGGGGTGAGGCTCAAAGGTGGGTGCTAAGCAAACTAAGTAACCAGCAACCCCTGGGGATGGGCAGAGCACCAAAGAAAGTTGTAAGACAAGTGGTTGCATTCAGCTGGGGCCATGTTTCAGATGAAGAGCTAGAAGACAACCCGAACCAGAGTGACCTGATTGAGCAGGCAGCTGAGATGCTTTATGGATTGATCCACGCCCGCTATATCCTCACCAACCGTGGCATCGCCCAGATGGTGAGGTTTCTCTGCCCCCACTACTCCTTCTGAGGCAGTAAGGGAAATGGTGGTTTCTGCAGCAAAAAGTCACATATTTTGACCCTGTCGAAGAATATAGCTGAGATGAGGAGAATCTCAGAACCAGATCTTGGGAAACCAGTCTTGACTGGGGATTATGCTGAAGGGGGTGTTTTCAGGGAGGGAGATGTGACCTTGAGCTGGAATTTGTTACAGAGTCTCTTCAGGGAGTAAACACTGAATGGCTTTGATGGTCTGCAGCCTCCCTCACTGGAGGAAAGGAAGCAGAAGAGTCAGCCTGGCTGAGCTAGAGAGAGACAGGAGAAATGGGGGACACTGATATGGGTTGGGTAGGAAGAGGGATTGCCTCTTCTCTTCATGCCTCCCCCCCCAACACTTTCTGTTTTGTTTACTTCAGTTGGAAAAATACCAGCAGGGAGACTTTGGCTACTGTCCGCGTGTGTACTGTGAGAACCAGCCAATGCTTCCCATTGGTGAGTATTGGGAGACAGAAAGGCAGGGCAGCATCTGGTAGGTCCTCTGGGAAGGAGTTGGGGCTCACCAAGTTGGGACTCAAGTTCGGGAAGGTGTTTGCGGGGTGGTTAGGGGAGCCTGGAATGCTGAGTCTGGCTATCTCCCAGGCCTTTCGGACATCCCAGGTGAGGCCATGGTGAAGCTCTACTGCCCCAAGTGCATGGACGTGTACACACCCAAGTCATCAAGGCACCACCACACGGACGGCGCCTACTTCGGCACCGGTTTCCCTCACATGCTGTTCATGGTGCACCCTGAGTACCGACCCAAGCGGCCCGCCAACCAGTTTGTGCCCAGGTGGGGAGCAAGGACAGAGTCACCAGGGATCAAAGGAAAGACCCATGGAGAGAAGGGAGAGCAGGGCATGGTCCTTTTTTGAGGTCTGCTTCTCCTAAAGCAAGGGCTCTCCGTGCTGAGGACCTTGGGAAGGTTCTTTGTCTACATTTCAGTTCCCTTATCCATACAATAGGGTTGATGGTAGTACCTGCCTAACAGTATTTTTAAATATTCGAAGTGCTCAGAATAATGTTTGGCACTTGAAGCACCATTTGAACAACAGCTCTTCTTGTTATATCAGCTTGGGCATTCATTTTTTGCCAGGGGCTCCTCAGAGCCACGGTTCAAGTGTGGTTTAGCTTCCTAGAGAATCACTCTTACTCTGGTGTAGGGAAGAGAAGTTCAGTTTTATATTTAAACAAGTAGTGGTAATGGACATTTCTATATGTACAAAACCTTGAGTTTGAGTGTTAGTGGATATTTAAGATATATCCCCAAATATTCTTGAGGGGTGGAGGTTGGGAACCACAACCTTAAGCACTGAGCAGGCCCATGGAGGAGCTGGGGTAGGGCGGTAAGAATAGGGGCTGCTGGCAGGGCGGCATGGGCTTACCCTGCTGCCTCTCTGACCTCTGCCCTGGCCCAGGCTCTACGGTTTCAAGATCCATCCGATGGCCTACCAGCTCCAGCTCCAAGCCGCAAGCAACTTCAAGAGCCCAGTCAAGACGATTCGCTGATTACCCACCCCCTGCCCCTCAGTCTTTGACACCTCCATTCCTTTGCTGCCACCCTTTCAGGAACCCTCTATGGTTTTTAGTTTAAATTAAAGGAGTCATTATTGTGGTGGGAATATGAAATAAAGTGGAAGAAAAGGCCATGAGCTGGTCTGCTGGTGCTTCAGATTGGGAAAGGGAGGGTAGTAGCGTGCTGGACACCAGGGGTCCTCATGGGCTGGCCCACCCTCCCTGAAAGCATAGATTTGTACCCAGTGGATTTAGGCGATGTTTTTATTAGCAGAGCAGAATTCTTAGGATTAGGTATGAGGGTGTGCAAAGTCCCAAGGGAAAGACCCAGAGAAAAATCAAACTTCAAAGCCTGGAGAAATACTTGTTTTTGGAGGGCCTGCCTATGGCTGTCTGTTTATATGTACGGGATATAACACTATCAGTTTTGGTTTTACCGAGAAAGGGTAAGTTTAAAAATAGTTAAGGGGTAGAGAGAAGAGGGACAGGCCCAGAATTGCTGCTGGATGAGGCCTGTGTGCCCCCTGCTGGGTAAGCAGAGACACATTTCAGAAGGATGGGGACACTGAGTTCCTGGCCAGAGTTCTAGCACAATAGGGACTGGCTCTCTTGTGTAGGAAGGACAGCAGATGGTGCCAAAGACAGAAGCTAATTCATAGACACTTAAAGGGCGGAAATAGTTCTTTTGGGAGGCACACTGAGCAAAGGCCCAGGTATTACCCCTCTCTCAGCTACCTTGACACATTCTCCCACATTCAGGAACCAGACCTCGTGGGTGAGGACACACTGTTCCTCCTGCCAAGTTAATAACTTCCTCACCCAGCCGAGATCCTGCCCCAGGCAGGAATATAGCTCTGAACCTACGGCATCTTCTGCTACGACTGTCAAAATCAGCTGCAGCTCAGGATCAAGGAGCACGGTCATGGGAAAGTGGGATTTCAGGGCAGCCCTCAGGGACTGCCCCTCACCTCAGAATTCCATGATGAAAGCCCATGTGCTTCTAGGCATGCTCGTCATGGTGGGCTTCACAATGGGAAAGGGTAAGTGGGGCCCAGGGGCAGGAAGAAAGGGGTGACAGTCCAGGAAGGGGGTGGGACTGTGACCCTAGATACATGGGCTCCCTACAGGACAGGGACCTTGGAATGAGCTAGCGCTCCCATCCCTTCTATTTTCTGCTTCCCTTAGCTCCTGTTCCTGAAGTGCGGACCTGCCACCTCTGTCTCTTAGAAGACCCTTCTGTAGGTTGCATTTCAGGCTCAGAGAAGTGCACCATCAGTAGCACATCCCCATGTATGGTGATCACAATCTATTATGGTGAGTTTAAGACCCAGGAAGGGGCTGCTGGTGGGACAGTCCATTGCTTGGTTTCCTCTCCTAGATAACGGCTGCTTGGGGTCTGGGGCACAAGAAGGAGATAGGAGGATCCCGGAAGGCATGGCCTGGGGTTCTGGGGGTGCCGGCTAAGCTAATTTTTTGAACCCTCCTGAAGGGGTCTGGGGTCTGGGATAAAGTCAGGTCTGATGAAGGATGGGGAGAGTTTGTTGTAGGAATGCCAAGTTTGGGGCCTGTGGGAAGCAACAAGTTATTAGTTGTCCTCTCTCCTCCAGATACCAAGGTTCGCTTTTTCATCCGAGGCTGTGGGCAGTACAATTCTTACCACTGCCAAGAAAAACGCAACACCTACTTGTCAGAGTACTGGTACCAGGCCCAGTGCTGTCGGTATGATTACTGCAATTCCTGGTCCAGCCCTCAGCTCCAGAGCCCGCAGCCTACGCCCTTCAGTAGGGCCCTGAGCCTGCCTCTGCTCAAGTCCCAGGTCCAACACTTCTACCAGGCCCTGAACCTCTCACTGCCCCTCCCCAGCCTCCATGCTGGGAAGGAGCCCGAAGGCCTGGCCGAAGGCCTGAATCCCCTGGCTTCCCTGCCCTTGAACCTGGGCTTGTCCATTGCTAACTTGCGCAACATATACTTATTCTTGAACAATTCAGGACTTCTGGTTCTTCCCCGGGCTGGACCCTGAGCCCTTAATCCTTCCCAGATTGCAGTCGGTTCCAGCATCTCTCCCAATACCAGCACTCCGCACTGCCCTCTCAGAACACGCACATTCTCTGGTCTGTGCTTATTCAGATCTTCTTTAACTTTTTATTGGGTTGGCCAAAAAGTTGGTTTAGTCTTTTTCTGTACAGTGGCTCTAGTAGTGCTTAGGCATCTTTAACTTCATTCAGAACAATTTTGTTATATTGTGACAGCTGTCATATTAGCATGCATTTAAAAAACAAAACATCAAAATTGGTGAGTTTTTTGCAGCCATTTTAATATTGAAAACAGAAGAAAATTTGGCATATTATGCTTTATTATTTCAAGAGAAGTAAAAATGCAACTGAAACAAAAAGAATTGTGCAGTGTGTGGAGAAGGTGCCATGACTGATCAAATGTGTCAGGAGTGGTTTGTGAAGTTTCCTGGTACTGTTGACATTTTGGCCAAATAATTCTTTGCTGTGGGGCTGTCTTATGCATTGGAGGATGTTTATAGCACCCCTGGCCTCTACCCACTAGAAGCCACTAGCAGGAGATAGCTGACATACTCAAAATATCCACATCAATAAAGTTATTGGTAAAAATGAAAAATGTGGTTTTTATCTTATGAGAAAAACTCAACAGACTTTTTGGCCAACCCAATACTTTGTGTCTAAATGGCTTCAGTTTCTCCCCAGAAACCAGTTACCCAGTGCTCTTCTTTCTCCTAAAAAATAATATCAGGTGCAGATTCCTGCGCAGACTAACCTGGAGGAGGCAGTGGTTCCCTCCTCCCTTTCCCGTCTGAGGTTCATCACCCCTCCCCATCTTTCCAGTCTCCTCTGTCTGGTCATCTGCCACCTCCACTTCATTCTGGCTGTATTTCCCATCCTGTGCCTATCTGTAAGACTCAGGCCAGACTGGATTTGCAGGGTGAAAGATGAGGGATAGACTTCCGTGCAGACCTCCCAACTTGGCATCCTGACGTCTCCGCCATCCTATTCCCACACTGGTCTTCTGCTGCCTTCTAATCTCTTGTCTCACTCTCTGGCCTCCTCAGCCCCACTTCATGTCACTGAGTCCTGACACCTCCTTCCATGGGTACCCAGGGAGGGGAGAGGGTCTGCCTTGCTCTGCTCCATATCTCCTGATTTCCCTCCACAATAAATGGACAGGGTTAAGTCTATGTCCCTTTGTTTGTGGGGTCAGGCTCAGGTGTAAGCAGGTGGTAGACAGGTTAAAGGAAATTAATTGGGCATGGGGTTCAAACGTTTGCAGGGTCCTGCCCACTCCATTTGGCCTTTGTGGCCTTAATGGCCTGTCCCAAAGGGCTGACACCCACCCCTCCCCTCCGCTCCACCAGAGATCAAAGCTGGAGGATTATGACTCTCACCCCCGCCTCCAGCCATAAACATACTCTTCAAAACCTAGAAAGTTAAACCCAGGTGATGTCAGGTTTTCCCACCTAAGAGAGAAGGGAAATCTTTTCAAACCAAGAAAACTGGAGCAAGCCAGAGAGCCCAGGTTTGCATCTGAGTCACCTGGTGCTGAGCGACCCAAGTTCCTTCCTGTCCATTCTTTCTAGGTTCTTGGTATCCAACACACCCTAAGTGGGGGCCTTTCACTTTATATTTTATTTTTCGGAAACTGCAAGCATCCTGAAAGCAATAATTAATAGCCATAACTCCCTTTCTCATATGTTAAACACTAGGCCCACACTGCTTTGCACCAAGACTTATAGACAGTATAGCCAGTGTCTGCCCTTCTAGATCTCAACCCAGTGCTGGGGTTATGAAACCTTTTCTGAAAAGTAGTATGGTGTTGTGCCTGGGAGGCCCAGTCTCAGCTCCTCCACCACTTTGGTAAGTTGGTCTTTCTGCTTCGCTTTGGTCACCAGTCAAGTAGGGTGGTGCCTCAGGGTTGAGAGAATGCAAGTGGACATGTGTAGAGTGGAGGTTGGAGCCTCAAAAATAGACATGCCTTAGAGACAAACACAGATTTTGACCTCTTTATTTTTTAAACCTCTTTGGCAAAACTTACATAGGATGGGCTGTTATAAACTACCCACCTGTGTTGCCAGATTTTGTCTGTGTGCTTGGTACAGGTGACATCATACAGCATATATTCATGTACATAGCACTGCCACATGTTAACACCTCCATGGCTCTGTTAATTAATGGCCTGTGCTCTGGCAGGAGACACCAACATTAATTTTTAGGTCAGCAAGCAGTTGGAGGTGCAAACCTGTGTATCGCCCTCTTGCTGGTCCACCATTCCCCATGACCTCTGGCTTCAGTAGAAGACAGAATGACCCAGGTTCGTATAAACTGGAAGACAACTGCAGAGGCTGAAAAACCCAAGGCCCAAAATTGAAGAGTAACTTACCATGGCCCTTGAAGAGGGAGCTGAACCTGGGATTTGAGAGCCCAAGGCCCCACTAGGCCTAGCATCTCTTCCACAGAGTATCCCTTCTCCCTGGGCCTGGTCCTTACGCAGCCCCACTCCCACCGACCCCTTCCCACCGTGGACCTCCCCTGAAGTTCCCACACAACTCTGGATCTGATAGCACTAACAGGTGTCCACTGCCCTTTTGGCCTTCATGGTATCCCCTCCCAATTTCTCCACCTTTTCATGCTACAGCTGAATCGGCTACCACAGCAGGGCAAAAGCAGAGCTCAGTAGACCTGGGAGCCCCTTGTCCCCACAAGCGGCAGTCAGGCAGGACCCCCTCCCTCAGCCTCCACCTCCACCAGAAGAGAGAAAAACACACAGTTTGTACACCAATTTATTCTGGAGAAGCAGCTGGAGAAAGGCCCATACATAGTAGGAGAATGGGAGGCCAGAGCAAAGCAGAGGCAACCTTAGAGGTGGGAGAAGATGGTAGGGAAGATGTCAGATTGTGAGGACATGATGGGAGAACTCCAGAGGTCTGGGGACGGGCAAAGTGGGAACGGGGATGTTGAGGGGCATCAAGCCACAGGCAGCTGGGGCTGGGGTCGGTCAACCTGAGGCAGGAGAGCTAGTGGAAAGGACTGGAAGTTGTGCCGGCTGTGCCCAGGTGGGAACAAGAGGCTAGCTGGAAGCTGGCAGCATTTCACTGCAAAGGTCTCTGCAGAAGTTCTACGGCGTGTAGAACACTCTGTTCTGTGGGTTATTGCAGAAATTCCGGAAACAGCATTGAGAAAATATCCAAAAGCCGAACACTGGAGAAGTACGGGTATATGAGCAGTCACTCATCTGCTCCTTGTGGCGACAGTCACTCACCATGATGTCAGAACCACTGCCTGGGGAGGGAGGGCAGCAGCCAGTGATGGAGAAGTCCCAGCAAAGCACCAAACCTTCCCATCCCCTCACTTCATACAGACATCACTGCCTCATACCTTCCCTGCATCCCCAAAATGCAGATTCCTGGCACTGGGCAGAGGCAAGGAGTCCCCAGCCATGAACTCTGCAGAAGTTTCCCATGGGAGACTGGTGGGAAACAGCCATCTGAGGTACAGTAAGGGTGCTGAGATGGGATTTGTGAAGTAGGGAGAACCAGTACTTTCTGGGGTGAGGCCACATAAAAAAAGTTGGGAAATGTGTTAGGAGTCAGATTGCAAAAAGGAGGTGTTCTTTTATTTTATGGATTAAAAGAAGATATGTTTCTATTATATACAGGGGTGCACAAAAGTAGGTCTACAGTTGTAAGTACATGAAAGTTTATTCTTGTATTTACTGGTTATTTTATTATTATTATTATTATTATTATTATTATTATTATTACTATTTATTAACCTACTTTTGCCCACCCCTCTCTCCGAGAGGGTGAAAAATCTTCATGCCCATGTCCAGGAATTCCAGTGCTGCCCTGCTTGCGAGAGTGGAAGAGTGGTAACCCCCAGTGAGCGCATCAGCACGTTGATAGACAGAGGGCTCTGTCATGCTCATACCATGGAGCACTATGCAGCAGGTCAATGGAGCAAGGAAGCTGTTTACAAACTGATATAGAAACATTAAGTTCCCATAACTGTTTAAAAAGTAAGCGCAGCCCTGGCTGGTGTAGCGCAGTGGGTTGAGCGCAGGCCTGCAAACCACACGATTGCGGTTCGATTCCCAGTCAGAGCACATGCCTGGGTTGCAGGCCAGTTCCCAGCAGGGGATGCACAAGAGTCAACCATACATTGATATTTCTCTCCCTCCTTCCCTTCTCCTCTAAAGATAAATAAATAAAATCTAAACAAAAAATCTTAAAAAAAATAAAAAGCAAGTGCAGGACAGTGTGGGTATGCTACTGTTTGTGGGGGGAAAGAGGTAAAGATAGAGAGTAAATGTATAGGGTGGGATGTCCACTAAAGATCACAGGAAGGGTCCTGGCTGGTGTGGCTCAGTGGGTTGAATGCCAGCCTGTGAACCGAGAGGTCACTGGTTTGATTCCCTGTCAGGGCAAGTGCCTGGGTTGCAGGCTAGGACGCCAGTTGGGGGTGTGTGGGAGGCAACGAATTGATGTATCTTTTGCACATTGCTGTTTCCCTCTCTCCCTCCCTTCCCCTCTCTATAAAAGTAAATAAAAAAAAATTTTTAGGGCCCTGGCTGGTGTAGCTCAGTGGATTGAGCGCGGGCCTGCGAACCAGACAATCAAGGTTCAATTCCCAGTCAGGGCACATGCCTGGGTTGCAGGCCAGTTCCCAGCAGGGGATGCATGAAAGGCATACATTGATGTTTCTCTCCCTCTCTCCTTCCCTTCCCCTCTAAAGATAAAATAAATAAAATCTCTAAAAAAATTTTTTTAAGTAAGTAAAAGTCTTTTTTTTTAAGATTTTATTTATTTTTAGAGAGAGGGGAAGGGAAGGAGAAAGAGGAAGAGAAACATCCATGTGTGGTTGCCTCTCGCATGCCCCCTACTGGGGACCTGCAACCCAGGCATGCACCCTGAATGGAATCAAACCAGCGACCCCCTGGTTCACAGGCCAGCACTCAATCCACTGAGCCACACCAGCCAGGGCTAAATAAAATCTTTTTAATAAATAAATTAAAAGGTGAGGGGCTGAGTAGAAGCACAAGCTTGAAGAACAGTGGGATGGAGTCAATTCTGGCCAGTTGAAAGTGAGGTGGAGGAGTCTGGGGGTAAACTGGTGTCCAGGGGGCGAGTTGACATGACAGTGTGGCCAAATACAGATTCAGAAGGAAGCAGCATGTGGTTGTTGGTGGAAGCCAAGAAAGCCCTCTGGGTGAGTGAAGCAGTTAACTAAGACCCCAATTTCAACGAACATGAATCAAGGGTCAAGCAGAATGAAGCAAAACTCAGTGAAGGAGTCTAGGAATAGGTGTTGGGAGAAGTAGGAGAAGTGAGATGCTGACAGGAACTACCACTGACATGGGGAGAAGACAGCCTGAGAAAAGGCCGATAGATCTGGTGATTTCAAGTGACCTTACAAGGCTGGTGCTGTGCAGAGAGAGGAAGTAAGTCAGTTGTGAGCTAAGGAGAGCCAGTCAGTGGGCGTGGAAGCAGGAATAGCTCTGAAGGAAATAAAGACAGTGATGGGGCAGCGTCTGAGAGTCTTAGCTTAGGAGATGTAGAGACTCAGCTCTGGTCCCAAGTCAGACAGAAGGCACCTTACTGTTCTTGATGAGGAGAGTCATACAACTGCCACCAGGAGAGGTCAGGCAAATGTCAGATCCCAGAAGGCACCCCAACTCTTTGGTCTCCAAGGGGCACCGATAGCAACGCAGGTATCGGGCGAACTGAGCTGGATAAGGGGGCTCTTGATTGGCAGGATCAAATTTACCTAGAACATAGAGAAACTCTGAGCCCACATCTCTACCTGCCTATTTTTCAGGTCAGTCCCACTGTCCCCTGCCATAAAATCATAAAATGTCCGAAAACCATAAAATCATCAATTCGTTAAAACCATCTGGCTTAATATTTCACCAGAAGCTTTAGCCCTTATTAAAAATCTCCATTTTCTGCTCTTATATTTCTGGAAATGAGGAAATCATTAATTCATGTACTTATTCATTCAACATGTTTTTGAGGGGCTAGTATGTGCCAGCACTATGGAAGTCTCTAAGTTCAAAGGTGAGGCAAAGACAGCCCATTTCGGCTCTGGACAGCCCTGTTAGAACAGTTCTTCCTCTGGGACTTGGTTTTATAGTCCTCACCCTCCCTGGATTCTCTCTCTCTCTCTTTTTTTTTTTTAAGATTTTTATTTCTCTTCAGAGGGGAGGGGAAGGAGAGAAGGAGAGGGATATCAATGTATGGTTGCCTCTCATGAGTACCCTGCTGGGAACTGGCCTGCAACCCAGGCATGTGCCCTGACTGGGAATCGAGCTGCAATCGTGTGGTTCACAGGCCGGTGCTCAATCCACTGAGCTACACCAGCCAGGGGTTGGATTCTTTTAAATATACTTTTTTAATCTGTAACGTTCAGAAGTAAAAATGAGAACACATCATCACAGAACAGGAAGAACATCTGCTTCTTGTAGACAGGAGACTTCAAACAGCCTAAGGCCACATTCTTTGTTTAGAGGTCCTGTCACAGGAAAGATTCATTAAACTTTATCCACCAGAGCCCTCCCAACTACATGTACGTATAGTTATAGACAACTTGGTATCTACAGGGGATTGGATCCAAGTTGATACCAATCAGAATACTCAAGTCCCTTATATAAAATGATGGAATATTTGCAAATAACCTACACACAGCCTCCCATATACTTTAAATCATCCATAGATTACTTATAATAATACAATGTAAATACTGTATAAATAGTTGTACTGTATTGTTTAGGGCATAATGACATGGGAAAAAGGTCTGCACAATGTTCAGTACAGACACAACCATCGTAGGTCTAACTACATAGTACATGTCAGCAACAACATCATTTTTAAAAAATAATTTCCCATCTTCAGTTGGTTAAATTCAGGAATGCGGAACCTGTGGAGGGCCAACCGTCCGTCTCCCTCTTCCTTGGTCCCAGGCTGAGACCACAGATTAATGAGTCACCAAACTCAGCAGAGCACTTGGTCTGAGGCAGATGCTGAACATTTTGAGTCTTGTTTCTATGCAGATGGTGCTCTGCAGCCAAGTGAGGAGGTTATGAGGCTGTATCCAGCCTTGCTGGACCCTGTGGAACCTGCTTTCATCTAGCATATTCCCCAAACCCTCCCTAATCTGTGTTGCCTTCAGACTTGAATAGGTTCCCTTCAGTATCTCCATTCAGGTCATTGCTGTTGAGAGGGACAACCCTGGGGTGTCACTAGACATCTCCCTCAGAGTGAACGTCAGATCAGTCCATCGTCAGCTCCCAGGCGTTATCCCACCAAGCCCACTCATCCCATCTTTCCTCCTGCCTGGGTCGACCTGAGCATCTTGGGCAGATGTACCCAGACACTTTGTATCGATGGGTTTCTGCCTCTAGCAGGTCAGGAGACCCTTCCGATCTCTTAGAGCCACTTACCAAACACCAAGCTCATCATGACCAGCACTAATAAGAGGACCATGTACAGAGTATGGGGGATGCTGTGGAGGCCCAAGGGCCCCAGACTCCAGCTACATGCAGAGGCCGCCATAAAAATGCATGACTGCCCACCGGCCTCCAGTATGGGCTTATATTGGTGAAAGAGAAGTTGGCCAAGAGGAAGGAGAGGGGCAACACCCATTTGGGGTGGAAATTTGTGCCCAAATAGGCAGAAGGACAGGATGTCCTCACCCACGGCCACTCCGGAACCTAACATCCTGGCTTGGGAACAGGAGCCCAGCAACGGGGGAATGAGAAGGGAACATTCTCTTCTAATCATTCAGTGACATTTGAATATTGGCATCAGGCGTTGGGGATGCAATATTGCCCCAAGTCCCTCCTGTCAACCTAAAAATAAAGGCTTTTGAAGTAAGAGATGACAAATGTTTATGTGAGATCAGTAAGAGTAGCTACTTTGAATAGCTGCTTCAAGCAGAAGCCAAATAGCTTTCTGATTAGGAGACCCAGGCAATGGTATTTATGAGAAGGAAAGGGGAATGATTACGCCCATAGAAGGAAGGCATTTCTGTTGGTGCAGAAAACACAGTGAAGCTAAACAAAGTTTTTAATTATCAGTCTAGTAGTCATAACTGCTTTCTTGTTATTTTTGCAAACATTTCTTTGGGACACAAGGTTTCTCAGGCCTACACCAAAGTTATTTTGCCCTGTTTTAGTATTCCAGAGGTTTGAGGAGTAAGACGTGCAAGGCAGTTTCAGCTCCATTTAGTTTTAGAGAGAGGGGAAGAAAGGGAGAAAGAGAAGGAGAGGAAAAGCGTGATTTGTCTCACACGCCCCCAGCCAGGATCGCTCGCAGCTCGGGCTTGTGCCGGAATCAAACCAGCGACATTTCACTTCTCAGGCCAGTGCTCAGTCCACTGAGCCACACCAGTCAGGACCCGGATCTATTTCTAAACTGGCTCTTGATATTGTTTACATTACCTTAGCAGAGCACAGAGTCTTAATGGGGGAGACCAATCAACAAGCAATGATGGAGGGTGGGGGTGGGGACAAAAGTGCTTCCTGGGAGCACCTGCGCTGTGGAATGCACTGACAAAGGGATTTCAACAGAGTAATATGCGCAGGTTTTTGTTTATAAGATTACTGAGGCGGGGAGCCAGTTAGGAAGCTATTCTTGAGTCCAGTCACTAGCAGGAGGCCTGATCAAGGAGAGGAAAAGCAGGGAAGCAAGAAGTGACAATCCGAGATGTACTTAGAAAGCAGACCGGCCAGATTTGGAGTTAGACTGAATGTAAAGTGAGGGAAAGTGGTTATAGGCTTCCAGGATGGGAAAGACGTGACACTGTCAGATATCCAAAAGAGACGACACTTGGGTCGCGAGTGACCTTACTCAGCACAGTGCTCCCTGTGGGTTCCAGGAAGACAGCACTTTTCCCTGTGCGTCCCGCCCCGCCCCCCACCCCCCACGTCTTCCCGTCCTGCTGATCTCAGCTGCAGGTCAGTGGGTCTGATCTCCGGCGCCCACAGGATCCCACGCTGTGCGCTCGCTCTCTCCGCTCCTGGCTGCTCCTCAGAGGACAGAGGGGCGGCTCCGGGCCCGCAGCCCCAAGCTCAGCTTTCTTCCCCGCTGCTGGGAAGAAACCCGGGAAGGGTATGTCAGGTGTCAGGACCCGGGCGTCAGGGCCCAGGTTTATGAAACCCGCAGACAGCCAGAGCACTGTGCGGCTTCGCCGGCAGGTGGCACCCCACAAGCTCCCCCGCCGGCGCCTGCTGCGCACCCTGACCCTCCCACCCCCCCACCCCCCGCAAGCCTGCAGGGCCCGCAGCCTCGCCAGCTCAACCCCTGTGAGATATTCAGGGTGTACGTTAAGAATTAGTGGGCTATGGGAAGTCTTTGGCATCCAGTTTACGGTCTGGAATTTGGGGGTGGAACCCTGCGGCAGGGTTCCTGCTTCCGCCCCAGATCATCCCAGAATCATCCAGCTTCAGGGTGCTGATAGCGTGGCTAGAAAGAAACAGATGGATGCACGCTCCAAGAAAGACGGAGGGAAAAAACAAGTTTGGGGTTTCATCCCAAACCCTTGGGATGAAATAAGAAACTAGTATTATTTCATTCATCCGAAAATGCCAGAGGAGAAGCTCCTGGCACCTTTGCAAATGTCTGTTGAATGGGTGACTGAATGATAGAAGAAAAGAATCAGAGAGCAGTGGGCCTCCTCTAGAAGCAAAGAGGGCAAAGGGAGACATCTGCACCCCTCCTTGAATGTAACCGCACTGAAAGACCAAGGTCTAGGGAGTTAGGAGTGGACTCGTCCTGAGAGGTCCAGAAGGACTTGCTGTAGAGATTCAGTGACTGCCGGCCCAGAAGGTAACACACGGGAAGACTCAAGGGGTGTTCGGGGGCTGGGCCAGGCCTTCTCCAGAAGGGACCTGGCCTCACGGTCCTTAATCCCACTCTAATCAAATTTCACTCTGCCTGTCCAGCTGCAGGGCTAAACCAGGGCATGTGGAGACCTGTGGAGGTTATGTTGCCATGGTGATGGTTTCCGAGGTGGCCTTCCAGGGGTGAAGACGTGGACTTTGCAGTAGTCACCATGGTGACAGCAGTGGCTGACATTCACCTTGAGTGCCCCCTCGCCCGGGTCTAGGGATGCTAGAAGGTGAGCAGTCCAATGAGGAAACAGAGGAGGTTCAACCCGAGGACAGAAAGCCAAGTTTAGGTGAATGGGGTGGGGCTAGGTGATTGGGTCTGAAGTGGGCCAAGTTCCCTTATGGGATCTGTCCAACACAGCTGTTTGGAGAGGAACTGAAGAGGGGGTCTTTAACCTGAATATAAATTAATGACTAGGTTCCTGAAAAAGCTAGATGGCTTGTTGATTGGGTGGATGGACTGATGGACTGACAGACAGACACTTGGCTGTCTCTGATGTCTGGACCCCCCACCCTCTGGGGCTGTCAACACCCAGGCCTCCTCACTCATTTGTGACAGTTGTGCAGGAAGTACATGCCCCTTCCCTGGGGGGTGGAGCAAACCCTCAACCTAAACACACAGACAAGAGTGGAGCCCAGGATCTCATAGTGGGAATCGCTCAGGGACAGCCTGGGCCAGTAGGACAGGATAAGGGACGGCCCAGCCTAGCACTCACCTCTTCTTCCCAGTTGCTACCTCTCCTTTCTCCTATCCTCCATCCTCTCCCAGTCTGCCCAGCTTCTTGGAGACAACTGGGTACCCAGGCCTCACCTGTATTAGCCTCACCTGGTGCCCAGTATAGCAATGTCCAGAGCCCCAGCAGACGTGAGGCCTGCATCTTAGCCGGTCATCCCCTGAGACTGCTGGAACCGTTATACGGAGTAAGGAGTGGACAGGGAGCTGGTTCCTTCCCCAGGTGGGGGTGAGGGATGGTTCTGAAAACAAACACAGCCGCTGTGAGCCTTATCGAGTGGGGAGTAATTTGCAGGGATAGACTGAAGCCCATGGGCAGGGTGGTCCGGATTTCATATATTGAGCCCCCCCTCTACTTACCTACTTCAGGTGTCCTGGGGGGCTCCTCATGGCATCCATTGTTCTCTGTAGTGTGTACAGGAAGAAGGGGAGGGGGAAATAGCCGATAGCTGTAGAGGTGGGTCAGTAGAGTTCCTAATGGCCACGGTCAGGAAGGGGAGACAAATCACCTTTGTCTCCAGTAGGTGGGAGGTGGGGCTAGAATCCCCCAATTCACATTTAAGGAGTTTCCCTTCATTGAACAAAGATTTGACTTCCAGGGGATTAACTGTCCTGGCAGATCTGGGAAGGCAAGGTTCAGAACCATGCAACTGTTTCCAAGGCCTCATGCTCCACACTTCCCATCCTATTTGTTCGCTGGGACCGAGAAAAGGTGCCACGGTTAGCTTTCCCATGCTGGGAAAAGGTAGGTGGAGCATTTTGAAGATGTGGCCACCTCCGTCTTTTTTTTTTTTTTTTTAAGATTTTATTTATTTATTTTTAGAGGGGAAAGGAGGGAGAACGAGAGGAAGAGAAACATCAATGTGTGGCTGCCTCTTTCGAGCCCCCTACTGGGGGCCTGGCCTGCAACCCAGGCATGTGCCCTGACTGGAAATAGAACTGGCGACCCCTTGTTTTGCAGGCCAGCCCTCATTCCACTGGGCCATGCCAGCCAAGGCGCCACTTCCCCTCTTTTAATCCCAAATACCAGGTGTTGTCACAAGTCTCAGATCACCCTTTCCAGTGGAGACACATTACACTCTCCCTTAAGGAGCTTCTGAGCTGGTGGGAACAGATACCTCTGCTGGGACTTCATGTACTAGGGCTGGAGGGAGGCACTGAGATGAGCTAGAAACTGTATCTACATCAGAATATTGTCACCCATATTCAGTACCTTGTTCAAAACAAGGTATCACTCAGGGTGGTGGACCTAGGGATGTCTCATCTGGAAAGAAGGCTTCCAAGGAAAGGAGGCCAGGCAAAAAATGGTGGGTGAGAGAAGGACTCATTCTATTCCATGAGGTCTACCACCTCATGGATTGGAAACAGGACAGGTACAGACAGGGAACTGATTTCCTCAGGTTCGACCTAAGCATATTCTACCAGCTACCCAAAAAGCCCAAGTGTGGCTCTGGCAGGACATGAGTTCTTGGCACCCAGTCTCTGGCAGGCCGGTGTTTGCTGAATAGCAAAGAGGGTGTGAGGAGAGACTTGAGGGCAGGGTGAGGAGGGTGTACAGGGTTTACTGAGTAAGACATGGGGAGTGAGCCATTCCTTACCCCCAATGGAAACAGCAAGAGCTAAGTGAGGGAAATGGGGGATCCTGGTGGTGAGATCATGCCATTTGGGCCTGGAAATCAGCAGAAGAGCTGAGCAGGTGAAATTAAGTACCAGAGAGCTATTGTAAACAACAAAGCATGTGAGTCAGAGCAACAGGAGGAAACATGGCTCCTGGGGTGGTTGTATGCAGGAAGGACTGGGGCAGGGTCACGAGACGCCATGGAAGGGTGACGTTTGGGGATCCATTGCATGAGGACAGCTGAGGCTGGGGGCTGAAGGCCTGGGGGAAAAGCAGCGATGGGGAAGGTTAAACTGGCTATACGGAGTTGGGG